GTGAATATAAGTGCTTGTCAGAGTTTGATTAGTTTATATTCGTTTTCGCCAGCAATGCTAATAAGTTGGAGTAACGTTGTGGCGAGATGTAGCTACCATTGATCGTGGAGCGTTAGTAATGGACAAGAACGTATTACATAAACCATGATAACCTTATGGCGGAGTGAAGGTCGCTATAGTCAGCTTAATCGACGTCCTGCAATTCAGTTGTGTTTCGTTGAGTTTTCGTTGTCCACTAGCAGTGTCCATTCGGTGTGAATATGTTTGCAGTATTGAATGGATGAGATTTATTAGGCACTCCTTTTGATGGTTTTGGTGGTAATTCAGTGGATTTGTCACCTCGAATTATTAAATGGACAGTATTGTAGGCCGCTGGAAATTAATGGAGAATGTACTTTGGGGTGTTTTGTGTGTACACGTGGGATGGTTAGGCGTGGGAAAAGTTGTGCAACTCAAAAGATGATTAGATGTCTAGTTTGCCTTAAATGCGGTTAGGTGTGAGTGTTAAATGCATTAGAAAATTTTTTTTTCCTGAGGAAAGTTTCGATGGAGGGGCATTGTCTGGTGCTTTGTGGAGAGTGGAGTTGTGGAGGCAACGGAAAATGGAATTTCATGATCGACAAGAACCGAATGTCTAGGGTTGTCCAAATAGAAGAGGGAATGATGGTGGCTGAGCTGAAGAAGAAAGTTATCGATGAGTTTTTCGGAGGCGGTTCTGCCGGTATCTCTGCCTCTCTTACTTATTGGCCGCCAAATACATCTGAGTTGGCGACAGGGATAACGACTCCGCCGGTGTTGGTCAGTAATGCTGGTGGGCTGGTATTTTTTTGTCACTTTAAAGTCTACCGCAACATGAACTTGTTCGTTACATTCGGTATGGAGGTTGAGGATATCGGTAGATCCCGAGTTTTGAAGACTATTCGTGGGTACATCACGCCATCGTCCGGTAGCAAGCGTCTTGTTGATAGTTGATATACCTATATATTTAGCATATTTAGCATGCATTTAGAGTAGTTTTCATGCATTCATCTTGCATTATAGGCTAGTCTCTACCATTTGTTGCATTTTAGGTCCTAGATCACTTTGCATTCGCATTTTGCATATTTCTTGCATCTTTTGCATCATTATCAGGTTGTTTGGGACACTCTGGAGTTGTGGAGATTGCGTGGACGTTCATAGAATCAAGAGGAGGCTTGTGGACACTTGGAGAACTCAGCCATGCATGCAAAGGACCCGAGATGGAGCAGCGGATCGAGCAAGGCAGGTCGATCTAGATGAGATCGACCAGAAGATCGAGTGTCTCAAGTCGTTTCAAGGAGAAGGATAGAGACCAAGATCGAGAGAGGTGATCGATTGTGAGTACGGACGTAGATGACGCCATGCAGAACGAGTGCCAGATCGAGACCATGATTCGATCATCCAAGGATCAAGTAGGAGATCGAAGGAAGTGCTTGATCTATCCAACCAAATCGACTTGAAGATCGAGCAGAAGAAGGCGATTCGTGGAGAAGATCGAGTGAGCTGATCGATCTATGGGACCTTATCCGGCCAGCTCATTTTTGGAGCGTAGTGAGGGGACCATTAGGGATGTTTGGCTATTTTAGGAAGGAGGCGGCGATCACTTTCACAACATACAACTTTGCTTTTATCTTTTCTGTTCTTTCTCTTAGGCGATTCCGCCATTGCAATATTTTGAAGCTTTTCTTGTTTTCAAACTTTGAATCTCGTTAATCATTAAGTCTTTTTCCATAATCGCTTGCTTAATAATGCTTAGTTTATCTTTCTTTGCATTTGAATCGATTTCAATCATGAGTAGTGAGTAGATTTCTTTGGGTAAAAGGTTGGGGCGATTCAAGGGTTTAAGGGTTTAAACTTTTGGATTTCTTTTTATTCTTAACTTATTCCTTTCTAGGATTTGGGGTCTTAAGGCTTAGAGAATCTTGGAAAAGATCTCTATGATTCCAGGTTTTCTCTTACCTTGACCGGATTCAGAGATCCTTGAAAACCAAATCCTAGAGACTAATCTATCCTCTCCCAAACGCCATGGATGTAGAGGGGGTTAGTTAAGCCACTATTTAGGATCTTTGCTTAATGTTCTTAGACCCATCTTTCCACTAAACACCATAGGTTTGGAGGAAGGGTCAGAGAAAGGGGTCTTACGACACGCCATGGAAGATCCTAGTTTAAGTTTCCTAAGGCTTAGGGAAAGCTCTTCAAATGAGTAGATCTAGGTGTTTTCAAACCAAAGCTTGAACCTTTGAATCTCTTGAACATGACCCTCGACCTTGAACCCTCTTTTTAGCATTTTAAAACCTCTGTTTATCATTCTCTTATCATAAAGTTGCATTCTTGATCATTAGAAGTCATTTGTCTTAAGTTGTTAGAATCGACCTGTTTTACCCGTGTTAGCTCTCGATTTTTAGTTATTAGTAGATTGCATTTTAGAGTCTCTTTTTTCTTTTGGTAGTTGTTAACCCTCTTCCAGAGATTTTAAAATAGTTTTCTTAGTAGTTTAATCGTTGCATTTAGTTTTCTTTGATTTTACCATCTATTTACCCGTTTCTGCTTAGATTTGCTTAGTACTTGCATTCTTAGTGTTCTTTCTTCACCCATGCTGGATTGATACCTCTTGCATACTATATTACAACTATAGGTTGCTTGAGCTTTGATATTTAGACTTGCAAAAATCCTTTTATCAATAGTGGCGAAGGCTCTGCGTCTTTAAAATCTGTTTCTGCAAAGGGGAGCATCTCGACTGTAGATAACGCCTATGCCACGCCAACTCTGTCTTTGAAGAGGCGTTGGAACTTTGACTGCGATAGCCGAGTAGCAAGCGGTAGTTCGAGTGCGATTGGGACATGCAACTTTGATTTTGATGACGACGAGCTACTAAATGTAGTCGATGAAGCTGAAGGCAATTTCCACCGTAGCAGTGGTTGTAAGGAGGTAGAATCCACTGGAGAGGAGTCTGACTCAGATGTATGTTGTGCTGAAGTAGGTGATGCTATGGAAGTAAGGGCTGTAGAGTATGACACAGAGTTTTGGGAGCCCCTAATAGACGGCGTACTTGGTTGATCTGATGCAGCTGATGTTATGTGTCCTAGTAGAGAAGGATTCGATGCTAAGGCTGTGGAGTTTGGGCTTAGGTGCGACATTCTGCGAGTTAGTGGTGGAAGAAGAGTAGCCGGCGTGAATAGTCTGGAAAATACACTGCTGGAAAGGGAAGCAGGGGGAAGGACCAGTGTACAGAAGTCCATGGACACCTCTCAAAGACTTGAAAACGTGGAGACAGCTGGACGCGGTGCTGGTGGACATGGTAGTGGTAGTGTGCTGACCGTGGACACATCTGAGGTCGTGGATGTTCAAGTTCTCGAGAGCATCGATGACGAGGAATTTGACACTCTTCCGCTGTTTGATGACACAAAGTACGATAACGAGGATATTCCTGATCTTGACATTAACTGTGCGGAGGAGGGAATTTACGAGGGGAGGATGTTTTCCAGCAAGGTTGAGTGCTGTATCGCCCTAGCGATATTTGCTATAAAAGGAACATTCACCTTCAAACAAACGCGTACGAAGAAGCACTACTTCATACTTAACTGCACGGATAAGCGGTGTGACTGGAGGGTGAAAGCGCAGGAAGTTGGTGATTTTGGGATCTATGTTATCAAGAAAGCTAATCTGGACCATACGTGTGATATTGACACAAGAAATGCGTACAAGAAGAAAGTAACTTCTCGTGTAATTGCAGCTGTTTTTAAATCCAAATATGGTAATGTGGAGTATGGTCCTTGGTCGGCGCAGCTGCAGGAGCTGGTGTTGGAGAACCTGCGGCTTGATACGTTTTACATGAAGTGTTATAGGGCGATAGGAATGGTTGAGGTGTCTCTGAGGGCTCTGCTGAGGACTCATACATGAAGCTCCCTATGCATTTGCATTTGTTGAAACTTGCTAATCCTAGAACGGTTGCAGATTTAGAGGTTGCAGTGGACGAGGACGGGCTGAATCGTTTTCTGTATGTCTTTGTAGCGTTTGGTGCCTCTATCCAGGGATTTAGTAAGCTTCGTCCTGTTGTGGTGTTGGATGGAACACACTTGTGGGGTAAGTACAAAGGCGTCCTCATTACTGCTTGCGATCAAGATGCAAATTTTCAAGTTTTCCTTTTAGCTTATGCTGTAGTGGATGGCGAGAACGACAATTCGTGGTGCTGGTTTCTGAAGAAGCTGGAGAGGATCCTCGCGGACAGTCCGAGTCTGACAATAATATCGGATCGGCATCCATCAATTTATAAAGGGTTGAAAGTTGCTTCTCCACGAGCACACCATGGATGTTACATTGTCCATTTAGGAGGAATGTAAATTCTCGTTTCTCGAACAAGGGTTTGGCGAAATTGGTGTTGATGGCTGTATTTGCGTGGCGTGTTGGGACATTTAAGGAGGTGTATGAGAAGATCAAGTCTAGCAAAAGCGAGTGCGCAAGGTATTTGAAGGCTATAGGCATGACTCATTGGACAAGAGTATATTACAAGGGTGAGCGTTATAACCTTATGACTAGCAATATTTGTGAGCATTTGAATAAGGCGCTGAAGAAAGGTAGAGGGTCTCCCATTATGGAGCTGCTGAGGTTCATACAGGAGATGATGACAAAATGGTTTGCAGCAAGGCGGAAGAAATCATTGCGGTGTCGTGGGGCTTTGCCGCCTGAGAAAGAGAAAGTTATAACTCAGCATTCGAAAGACGTTGTTGGGAGTAAGTTAAATGAGATAACGGACTGGAGTTGCCAGGTGGTTGGGAAGTTTGGTGAAAGGAACCATGTTAGTGTGACGGAGAAGAGGTGTTCTTGCAAGAAGTTTGATCGCCTATTGATCCCTTGTGGGCATGCGTTTCTGGTCGGTGATAAGCTAGGCTTGCCGCCTAGTTCACTAGTCGGGGCTGTCCATAAAACTGCGGTTTGGCAAGAGACGTATGCTGGTGTGATAAACCCAGTTGGTAACTTTGCAGACGTGGAGGTTCCTGCGGCCGTAACTGAAATGGTATTGCTACCACCTCGCACGCGTAGGCTGTCTGGGAGGCGTAAGGAGGGGAGGATTCCGTCAGTTGGAGAGATACCGGTTAGTTTGTTGAAACCTATTTGAAGAGATAACATGTACTTATCTTCTTTTTGAAATAAAAGAGTTTTGATTTGCTTGTAGGGGACGAGCTCTAAGAAGACGGAACCGAACATGTGTTCAAGATGCACGCAACCTGGGCATAATCGTACTAGTTGCACGAATCCGAAATGAGTTATTTACTTGGAAACTTTTTGTTTATGTAAGGGGGGATTGGTGAATGGTTATAAGGTTAGGTAGCCAGAATTTTAGATGAAGTGTTGTTTTTTTTGTTGTGGTATTTGTGTATTTGGTTGGATATGTCATTTACTTGTGAAACAGCTTCGTTGTTGGTTTTTGTTGCCGATTGTATGGCGTATACTTTTATTTTGTGTTCGTATATAATTGATTTGTATTGTATCAACTGGTTGTCTGTGGTGGACGTGGTCATGTTACTGTTTGGTAAAATTGTGCGAAGAGCAATTAAACTGCAAACAGTTCTGTTTTCAACACACATTTACGAAGACCGGTGAGGGAAATGCCAACATATGTTACCTTTCTTTGTACACGCTCCTAAGTCCATCAAACATATCCATCAACATTATCCTAGAGGGATAGGTGATTAAATTGCGCTGGAGGAAATACACCAATGTGGTGTAACTTTGTGTTGGTTGTGTACATATCTTTGCTAGGGTTTTGAAACTGATAGAGATTATTGTGGTGGACGTAATCTTGATGGACATTATATTGATGGCACATGTTAAAAGTGGTGGCTGATAGCGAGACCGAGAATGAGTTGCATTGTCGAGACAGATTGGGTTTTTTATTTACCTATGTGGTGTCACTGTTGTGATTAAATTGGGGGAAGTGTAAGTATACAGCAGTCGTTGCATATGGATGGGTAAGTTTGGTGGATAGGTGTGGTGGACATAGACGCGTGTACAATAAATAGTAACTTATTTTGATGTTTGCCTTAGTTGGATTCGTAAATGTGTGTTGAACACAGAACTACGGTGTGTAATGAAGTGTCTTCGAGTAGGGGAATGTGATTAATTTGCGGTGGAGACATTAGGCTAATGTGATTAAGCTGGTGTAGGTGACTGTGTTGGTCGTTGTCACGATAGACATAGGGTTGATGGACATATGGAGAGTGTCCAGTGGGATTGATAATGTTAATGTAGTTGATTACTGGAGGAAGGACGAGATGTACGAGTTGTTTGCTTGTGGACATATTTGTCAGTAGACGTAGTTGGATAGTTTGATGGACATATTATCCGGTGGACGCATTTTGATAGTTTGAAGTGGCCTACAGTTGGGAGGTGTAATGACATTAAACAACAGAAAGGGGCGTACATTTGGGAGATAGCGATGCAGTAAAATAGTCTTAGAATGGAGAATATTTGGTGGACGGTTATTCTCTTCAGGGTGTGGCAAGATGAAAAATAAGTAAACTTAAAGCTGTTAAAGCAAATAAGGGGAGTAGCATGAGTGAACGGAGGTTCCTATCGTTTTGATGCGTGGGTGAAGGTTGGGCTGTGATTGGTTGTTGTTGTTGGTGTTAGGAAGTAGGTGACATAACTGAATCCCCGTCGCTGCCGTAGTTCAACTGTTGTGGTGACGGTGGAGGGGGTACATGCTGAGCGTGATATCGCATGATGTCTTGGTGGTGGCGGTCGCAGATGGAGCTCCGAAGAGAAGTTATTTCTTGGTACTGGCGGCGTATTTTAGACCTGGCCTCTATGAGGCTTTGTTTTTGCCACGAACTCTGGGTTTAGGTGTCAGCCCAGCAATAGAAACCGTGTTTGAGGCATCTGTAAAACCGTCTTCCTGGGTTGTCGTCGGTCCAACATTTTGACTAGACGGTTAGGCGGTTGCAGAAGCAGATTGGGCCCTCAATATCTTCAATGTCGTATGATGTTTCGACGGAGTCAGAGCCCTCGTCGTGGCTTGTGGGCATGGTTTTGAGATCGGGTGAAGAAGTTTGTAAGTGTGAGAGTGATAGACATGATGAGGCTGTCTACTTTATAGGGGAAAGTGTGGCCGTCATTGGCAGGATGGGTAGATACCCCCTTTTAACCGATGGGTAACGTTCAATTTATGAGACCCACGTGGGCTGTGTGTATTGATAGTCGAGCCTTGCTAAACGCCTTCTGTGTGAGGTATTTCTTTCCAAATCGTAATTGTATGTGGGTGGGTTATGACGCGCTTATGGGATTGGTAGATGATGGATATCGCGGATGTACGTAGCCGTGTGGACGAAAACTGAACCAATTTTTTTGACATTTGTTTGTGTGGAATCGTGTGTGGAGGGACCATATAGCTATTGTGGACGTGTGTACAAACTAGTGACTGCGTGGACTAACGAAGAGGCATTATTATTGTTGCGAGGTTCACGGAATTTGCTGTTGGGCCAGAACGGATCCTGGCTGAGTAGTTGTAGTTTTCTGTATTGGCAGGAAGCGTTAATCGAAAGCTGAATGCTAGAAAGGTTGTTTGGTTGTTGGTAGTTGTCAAGCATTAGCCAGATGTGTGTATTCATTTGTAGTTGTCTATGCGGTGACGGCGTGTGTATACAGTACATTGGATAGTGTACATGGATTTCATTCTTAATCGTGTCTATCAAAGGTAGTGTGTTGTATTGAGCTAGCTCGAAGTTGTGTAAAGAAAGTTTGCTCGAAGTTGAAATCCCAAACATGTGTGGTTCCGGGTCTCTTGCGGCATGCATCTCCATGAATTTTATGGCCACTGGACCACAGTCACCTATGCATGCGTTGACATAGATATCCTGAACCACATGCCAAACATAGGGGGTAAGACCAGTACCTTGTGAAGCTTGTGGACATAAGCTACCTCGTATGGTAGCATCTCGCAAATGGGGCGCATCCAAGTAGCAATCTTGCGTTTGTCTTTCAGCGATGGGAGAGGGTCTAAGATTTCTATGCTACCAATGCTTATGTTAATGGCCAGACCCACCCAGTGTTTCTTCTCCCAGAACATGGGAACGTACAGCGTTTGCGTGTCCTTCACCCATCTCGAGCCAGGGGCCTCTGCGATGGGTCTAAGATCATCCCATCTTAGACGTTTGGGGGCCTTTACAGCTGAAAACTTACGTTGTTTGGCGAGAAAATATCCGATGAGACTGGGGTCGCAGAAAGAAACGACTTCTTCTTCTTCTATGCATGTTTGTTTAGTCCGAAGCCATGCCATGAGAACCTCGATGTGCTGTTGATGGGATAATGTTATGGTCCGTTTGGAAAGGGTATGTGTTATTATGGTTGGAGTTACTTACCCTTGTAGATGTCCAGGCTTTTGGTGCTGCAAGCTCGAGAAAGAAGTTGTTGTCGAAGGCCCCACAATCTTTGGTGTAGTGTGTGCTGTTATTGGAGAAAGATGTGTAAGCGGACCCGAGAAGTAGTAGCGTATTGATAGGAAAACAGAACTTACAGAGCTGGCGATGCAGAAAGTGTCTGGTGAAAAAGATTCCACAAGTCGCCGTCTATTTCACGGACTAGGTGGCGGGAGGGTACAGGCTAGGAGGGTCTCCATTTGAGATAGAAAGTGGGGCTGTCTCGTGGGTGGCTGATGTCACTACATATTGCATGCATTTTGCATACATATAAGTTAGCTTTTCATGATTTACATCACACTTTAGGCTAGATTGCATCACTTTAGATCCTAGAGCATTCTTGCACCAGCATACTCATGTTCCTTGTATTTTGCATCATATTCAGGTTGTTTCTGGCTACTTTGGAGTCGTGGAGGTTCGTGGACGTGCTGAAGCTGTTGTGGAGGTTCGTGGAACGTCGGATGTTTGCTAAGGGCCAGAGATCGGGGAGCAGATCGAGCATGGCAGGTCGATCTAGATGAGATCGACCAGAAGATCGAGAAGCATAGGCGATCCAAGGGAAATGATCGAGACGAAGATCGAGTGGAGAAATCGATCAAGTGGTACGGACGTAAATGACGACATGCAGGGCGAGAGCCGGATTGAGTCCACCACTCGATCCGACCGAAGATCGATACCAAGATCGGATGCAACACTCGATCCGCCGAAGAAGATCGAGACCCAGATCGAGTAGAAGACACAATGTCCGAAAGTGATCGAGAGAGCCGCTCGATCCCGAAGTCGATCTCTGTCCTTTCAACCGTTTTTGGCCGCTAGCGAGGGGGGGACCATCGAGCTGTTTTTCCCATTTTGGGAAGGCGGCGATGATCTTTTCCCACACACTTTATTTTTCTTATCTTTTTATGCTTTCTCTCTCTGGTTTTTGGAGACAATCCGCCATTGTTAGACTTTGAGCTTTGTTATTTAATATTTTGAATCGTTTAAGTTTAATCCATCGTTCTTATGTTTATCTTTTCATTCTTCATGCTTTGCTTAGTTGATTCAATGTGTAGTGAGTAGTTTCATTTTGGTCTCGGGGTTGAGAGGATTCACGGGGTCGAAAAGGTTTTTAAAGCTTGGTGTTTTCTTGTTCTTAATGGCTTTCTTTTCTAAGATGTTGAGTTCTTAAGGCTTAAAGAGTCGACAAGATCTTTATGATCAGAGAGAGCTCTTACCTTGACAGGATCCAGAGATCTCTGAAAATCACATCTTAGAGGCTAGTTACTCTTTCCCAAACGCCATGGTAGTGTAGAAGACTAGTTAAGCCGCGTGGTTGAAATCTGTTATCCTTGCCTCTCAATCACTTTTTCCGCCAAACGCCATGGGTCTGGAGGAGAGTATGAGAGAGTGATCCATACCACACGCCATGGATGGGTCTTGTTTTGTTTTCAAGGCTTAGAGAATCTCACAAAGTGAGTAGATCTAGAGTTTTCAAACCAAGCTTGGATCTTTGAAACCCCTAACATGAATCTCGACCCTAGACCCTTCTTTCTTAGCATTCTTACATCTTTGTTAGTCATTCGCTTGATATTCGCCGCATCCTGGTCATTAGTTTCTTCATACTTGCATTTTTAGACGAGATCGATCCAAACTGCTCGATCTAGTGGTCGATCCTGTGGTCGATCCACTAGTCGATTTTTGTTAAATCATAGCCTTGCATTTTAATTATTTTGTTTGTTCCTAGTGGTAGTTCAATCACTCTTGGTAATTTTAAAATAGTTTTGCATTCCATTCGGTCGTTACACATAGTTTTTAGGATTTTCACAATATCGCGTGTCATTCGCTTAGCTTTGCACTGCTCTTGCAT